CAGCTGTGATGTGGAAGAAAGAGTTCTGAATTAGTTTTCCAGTCTTGAATGTACTACTTATTGCCTGGTTGACCTTGGATAGGCTCTTTAATATCTCTGGGCTTTAAGGGAATCTGGCTAGATGACCTCAGGGTCTCCTATAACTTATTCTTTTAAGTTTCAAAAGAGGGAATAAATATGGCCTGATGAAGAATAGAAAAAAAATGGCCAAGTATATTCTGCTCAGAGTATTTGATCTAAATATTATATAAAAATACTGATATCAAAATTAAGTGCAAAAGTAAAAAACCGGAGCACATAATTATGACATAGATTAAGAATTCCTTTTCATATTAAGCCATAGTTCCTATGTCTAACTGACATATTGGTATGACCGCCTGCCCTTTAAGGTAGATAATATATATTACAAATTAATTAATGGATAAGGACAGAAGGTTCTCTACAGGCAGAAAATGTTATACTCGTTCAAAAATACTATCAGGCTTTCCAAGAACTATTAAATGGGACCACATAACTAATCAATTATTCAAGAGTACATATAAGGTGTAATACAGTATGGCTTGAGAAATGGGATATCTCCCAAGTAAGTAGAAAGTTTAAAATATTTTAGAAGTGAAATGGACATGTATGGGCCTGAAGGAGGCAGTTTTTAAAATGGAATTAGCACTGAATTTGGAATCAAACCTACATTCAAATTTAACTCTCCACCTTATTAGATCTGCAATAATTTGGTAAGTTTATTTACCTTATCTTACCTTACCTCAGTTTTTCAGTAAGTAAAATGGGCAAAATTACATGTACTTTGCAGAACTGTTGTGCAAATTAAGTGAGATGAGGCAATTTTATGAGAAAGCCCTTAGTACTGTCAAATTTGAATTTTCAAGAATGTTTTATTTGAACAAATCAGTAGATGTAACAGTATCTAGAGTTAAATACAAATTAATCAGTTGCATTGACCATAAAGTATTTAGAAGACCATTTTCCTCTCAATAGAGTGGCAGTAATGGAGAATCTGTCTAATAACTTTTTTTTTTCTTGGTGCTGGGGATCGAACTCAGGACCTTGTGCTTGTGAGGCAGGCATGGTGCCACTGAGCTAAATCCCTGGCCCAAATAACTTAATATTAATGTAATTACTATGCATCTACATGTTATCCAATTTTTTTGGTCTTAAAACTTTTCTGAAATGGTTAATTTCCATATAAGCTATATTAGACAGATAACAAAGCACTTGAATTGAATAACAGTCTGATTCTAATCAACAAGTAAACATGGGGAATGTCTCTGGGTAGAAGAAGATCTGAAAAGAAGTAGAATTTATTGTCAGGGGTGGTGGTGCATATCTATAATCCCAGTACCTTGGGAGGCTGAGGCGGGACGGTCACAAATTCAAGTCCAGTCTGGGCAACTAAGCAAGACCCTATCTCAAAAAACAAAAATTAAGGGAGGGATGTAAGACAGCATAATCATCAGTAGTGGACAAAGAAATAAAAAAGAATTAGAATTTCTCAAAATCATCATCACCATCATAATCATCATTGGCAAACTTTGCCAAGTATGTATGGGCAGCCTCCCTCAGAGAAGTTTTGAGGAATACTATCTTGTCTGAATACATACTTGCCAGATGTAGAAATTTCCAGAGATGTCAGTTTAATTACCATCCCCCATGGCTGCCTCTTCCCTCAGAAAGGCAGTGCAGCTGTAGGTCCCATCCCACCTCATGTTTTAATGAAGTTGATTCATTTATAGGGGAAAAAACAAAGCTCCTTACCAAAGAACATGGCCTTAGCAACTATGTTTTTCCTTTTTTCTTCTCATTGAGTTTATTGGTACCTATGTTTTTCTTTTAACACAGAGCATTAAAAATTCAATCCCAAAGCCAAACCATTCATATATACAAATTTGAAACTTTCAGTGTATTCTGTTTAGAGCTCTCTCTTAACAGCTTCTAAATATGTACAGGCCTTAACCTGGACTAAACTGAAGCTTATCTAGGGAAAATTAGGTAGTTCTTTATTGAGGTCTTCATTGTTTGCATTCATTGATGCCTAAAGATAACTGATTAGGAGTTCAAAATTTGTTAGCATTCCATACATATTTCATAAAAGCAACAAACTGATGCATATTTGATAGGGATGATATTTAAACATTCTGTGTATTTAAGTAGTAACATTGCAGCCAGTGCTAGCCTTAACCAGTGATGGTGAACCTTTTAGAGCTTTCAGTGGTAACAAACAGCCCACTGTGGTACCCCTGCCATAGGTTCTCCCACCCCTGGCCTAAACTAAGAAAAAATAATCAACTTTTGCTATTTAGAGATAGAAAAATAATTTTACAAGCTGTGAAACTAGAAAAGTTAAGAGAACTCTTATTCCTAACAAAGACTTCCCAGTATAGTGAGATGAGCTAAATTAGAGCATTGAGGACTTAGGAATTCTCTACCCTGGTATCACCATTCCTAACTGTATGACCTTGAGAAACTGCATTAATAATTGTGCTAACATTATTCCCCTTGGACATGATTCATTCCATCGAGCCCACTTTACAAGAGAGTACTGAAGTAGCTCCCAATAATCTCTGGACTACAGCTTTCATTTCTACATCAATATTACTTTGTCCAGATTTTCTTAATGACTGCTTGTATATGCCAAAAGTGCTTGATGCTTTTACTATGTTAAAATAAAAATCAAAGTAAGAGGATCTCACATTTCTTCAAATACCATTTATCAGTCAGAGCAGAGTAATACAGAATAAAATCTAAGGAAAGCCAGACAATGCTACATGACCAAAGAGGCCATTTCTTTCACAGCTTTGGTTAGGTGCTTCCAGACTATTCCTTTTATTTTTTATTTATTTATTTTTTTTGCAAATGCACAAAACAGTGGAAATTTTTTCCATAAAACCTCTTAAAGTTTTTCTGTTCTTCCTTCATTTGTTTTTGCTTACATGTGAGGTATCAGGGCTTGGATGTATTGGAGGTAGAATTCATGGGCATAACTTGTTCACTTGACCAGATTATAGGTTTGGTTTCCTTCTCACACTTAATAGTTTAAGGGACACAGAATGTCCACAATGGAAGAAATAAGTATAAAAGTCAGCATTTACCACAGGCTTATGATGAGCCTAGTACTGAACCAAACTCTTCATATTTAATTAGATCTAACCAATCAAATTGATACCCTATTATCTCTGCCAAACTCAGCTCCCAGCAAGGAGGCCTGCTGGATTCTGGGAGGCGGGACCCAGAGCTCTTTTTAGAGCAGTCACAGGAGGTGCTACAGTGTGAGCTCCTCAAGAGCTCCACAGGTCCTCTCACACCTCAGTCCTCCATTCCTCATGCAGGACCCAGAAGCAACTTGTACCTTAGGCGAACTTGTGAATTCTTGATATTCATTCCCAACAACTGTGGAGCACAAAAACTGAAGGTAAGTAGAGAAAATGCCCTTTATCTCCCCTCTTCCTTCTCTTGGGATTCTCCTTTCTCAGGTAAGAGCAGAAAATCCTGGTCTCTAGAGGTGATGGCATAGGGCTAACTGGAAAGACACAGCCATTGCCTCAGCTGAAGCCAGCTGAACAGAGCTCTTGTGCCCTCCTCCATGTCCTCTGAGGACCCAGCCACATGCATGGATAATAGGACTTTGCCATGCTGGCAGGTCTTCAAGGCTTTGCTGCATGGAAAGTTGTGTGCATATCTGTACATATACACACACACAGCAGAGACAGACCTGTGCAATGGTGGCACACAGCAGCACTTGATAGATTTTTGCTTCCTCCCTCCCTTTCCTGCAAAGGAACCTGTGATAAACAGCAGTTAGGATGCTGTGCAACAGTTCTTTTGTTATATCTGGTGTCACTGAAGATTTGCCCTCTGATTTTTCAGTATAATCATTCCCTTCAGACCTCTAGGCATTTATAATACATCAAATAGGTGGCAGGCAACTAACTTGAGGCAGAGATGGTTACTCAGCTGCTGAAAAGCCAAAACCAACAGAAAGGTTACAACCTCTGGATCAATTATTGCTACTTTTGGAAATGTTAGTCTGAAAAGATCCCAGTGATTCCTAGAAACAATTTGTTCTTGAATCTATTTAAAATAAAAATGGAGGTTTTATTAAATTAGGCTGTAGGGTATGGTGACAGTTCACATAGGTTATATTTCAGTTTAAGTGCAGAACTGACAAGAAAAGGACCATTTGCTTTCCACAAACACAATATCCTTTGGGTGTTTAGCAAACTAAAGGAAACTGTACCTAATGTTTTGTGTCTATTCCTTCTTAATCAAAACCCTAAAATCACTATAAGAAACCACGACAACAATATGCAATATTAAGTCATAGCACTATTAACTATTTCTTGTTGTTTATATATACATGGAGATCTAACAAAATTAATCTCTACTCAGGAAACTAGTAAACAGAATTATAAATGTGCAGTAACTAGAAATGTTATATCACTAGACCTTAAGGCAGCATTGGTTGAGTCTTCTCTGGTAAAGTATCACATAATTCAATGGCCAGTGTATGACTTTAAAAACGATTAAAACAAATTCTGAAATAATGCTTTGAGAAAGAAATAGGACTAACTTCAAGACTCCTACAAAATGAATTTGCATTGGAATTTTAATTTGAGATTAGACAGTGTACAGAGGAACATAATGATGTAAAGATATAGCGGTCTTTCTCAGATACAAAATAAAGACACCACCTAGAAATTACTATTACTTTTAGTTAGCACTTTTTGGGCTCCTTTGTTACTTACTGTTGCATTCAGAGTAGTTATTAGAAAATTCTGCTGATATGTTTGTTTATTTGTTTAGTTTTTTGTTTTTTTGAGACAGGGTCTCACTGTGTAGCCCAGGCTGGCCTCAAACTCACAGTGATCCTCCTGCCTCAGCCTCCCAAGTGCTGGGATTACAGGCATGCGCCACCATGCCCAGCTGCTGATGTTTTAGACAGGGTCTCACTGTGTAGCCCAGGCTGGCCTCAAACTCACAGTGATCCTCCTGCCTCAGCCTCCCAAGTGCTGGGATTACAGGCATGCGCCACCATGCCCAGCTCTGCTGATGTTTAAACAAGGGGTCAGGTTGAGTTTTACCTGAGTGAAATACTTTCAAACTGCATTTGATAATTTATCATTATGCTCTGATTTTATAACTACATCCTTAATGCTGGGTTTGCTTACCTGGTAGACTGCCTAAGTCATAGTGTCCCAAGCATCTGTGCCAACCCTAAAAGGGTGACATCTATTGTGGCTGAAAAAGCCATACTTTGATTAAAAAATATTTCAAAGCTTTTAATAAACACATGTGGGGATTTGTTTTCCTGTGGTTTGTTTTGCTGGACTTTGCTGGTTAAGCCTGAACATTACTGTTTGTTGTTTTACACATCCAGTGCTATACGCTGACAGGACAACTATGGAATGGAGAACAGATTTAAAACAACCACCACCTCTACAAAATGTTCAAATGAAAAGCGCTCTCACATGGTGCTGAGAACTAAGACATAGGCACTTCTGCTTCAGAGGTTTTCACATTTGGATCACACGTGGCTTTCCCAAGCCGTTTTCTTTCACTCCTTCAAATTCTCTTGTGTTGTACAAAACATCTAGTTCACTGAAAACCTTGTTCTCAACAAACTCCCTTTTGGTGCATTAATCTTTTTTTCATAAGTTTCCCTACTGACAGCGGAGACTGATCCTTCCGTGGCAGCGAGCAGCCCCTGGCAGGTGCTTCAGGATGTTCTCATGCGAGGCTGCTTGCTCTGCGGGACCAAGTCATCCACCAACACAACGGAGGAGGGTCAAGTGCAATTCTTCTCTAACGTGTCCGCCTCTTTCTAGTTCCTTAATGTGAATGTAATTCAACAAAGTACGGTCTCCACAACATTCTAAAGCTACTGGGCTACTGGGATTTTAAAAAATGACACTTAAACAGCTTCAATTTTTCTTTTTTTCCAGAAAACCTGTGCTAAAAAGGCACTAGATAAAATGAATTTCCTCAGTCTTCTTTATAGCAATTATATATTGTGTTTGCTTTTATGATTGAGTGAAGGTGACACACATTTGGATAAAATGGCCAAATTATTCAGATTCACCTACTTTCATTTTAAAAAACAAACTCCAAGTCATAGGAATAGCAGGCCACACTGATGAAGACCGGCACGTCCATGGAAGTCACACCCAGTCAGGCTCTGCCATCCCAGGCTCTGGTTGCTGCTGACTTTGGCCTTGGCTGCCTGAGGGAGCTCTGGCCTATGAGAGGGAGCAAGGCAGTGGCCTGGACCCAGGGAGAGCTCACTGGCAGCAGCTGTGGGAGCCAAGCCTCCTGGAGACCTGAGTAAAAGAGACAAAAGTGAAGTTCTCACAGTTTTCCAGCTTGACCTTCTTGGCTAAGTTTGGGACAATTCCCCGAAGAGACCGCAGCCCCATCCTCTGCTCCTCGTACCACACACTGCCCATGTCTGTGGCCTCCTTCCTGGCAGTAAGGTAGAAGGGGGACTTGGCCTCCATTTGGGCAGGTGGCCGGTGGATGTACATGTACTTGTAGAGGAGGCAGTATGGGCACTGTTTGTGTCCCCTGGAATGCTCATGGTAGATTTTCCCGTGACACACTCTAGTGGAACCGCTCCGACTCTCCCGCTTCACACTGTCTGTCCGGGCAAAGTAGGGCTGGTTCTGTGGGTCTTTGAGCAGTTCAATGTCACCATACATCAGATCTGCATGTTCCTGCAGTGTCCTCATGTTCAGGTATTGGCTGTTGTACTTGACCACAGTGGACAGGAGAGTGATAGGGCTGTCATCCCCTAGACACCCTGCCTGCCACATCTCTTCCTCATCAGAAAGAGAGAAGTAGACGATATTGCGAGAACGGGCACCTGACATCCCTGCCTTACTCAGCACCCATAGCTTCTCCTTGAGTTTCTTGGTGGAAGAACTGAAGGTGCTGCTGGTGATAGAAAAGCCCACACCTGCATTCTTCAGGATGCGGTCCAAGCCTCGGCGGATGGCATGGAGCGAGGTGGCCAGGAAGTCTGAGCCGTCACTCTTCTTAACGGTGACATAAAAGTTTTCAAGCAGCTCATTCAACTTCACTGCAGGGATCTCAAATGAGACAAACACTGAAGTTACACATTTGAGGAAACCTAAATAGCCAGACCCCGCCTCCCTTCTAATCCTCGCTGGGGGTTCTGCTGTGGACAGGACGTGTTGTGGCTTCTAGAGGGCCGACCCCTTAGCGTAACAGAGTAGAAAGAATAGTCCATTTCAAGCTGGAAGATCTCCGTTCTGTATTTGGCTAATCTTTTCAGATCTTAACATTTAAATCTGCAAAATAGGGCACAATAACTGACACCTCATAGGATTGCAGTAATATTTAAAACTGGACTGTGAAAGGGTTTGTAAGTAGTCATGACCATACACACCTGACCACACATATGCATGTGTGTCCACACACACATTACTACCAGCCTTTTGTAACTTCACTGTTCTTCTCTGGAAGGTCCTTTCTTTTCCTTGCTTGCAAATCATTCACTTCCTTCCCTTTGATAAGATTCAGTCACCCTGTCTGAACGATTCCTAAAGTAAAACACTCAGTAGCTCCAGCACTAATTTCTGGGATATCGTCCCTGAGCATGGTGCCAAATGGGAGGACAACTGACACATCTGTATTGCATAGTGAGTTAGTGGTTCTTGATTTTTCACTTGAATTTATCTGAATAGGTCCCGAAACATCTTTGGCTTCATAAACAATAGGGTTTCAACATCAATATTTGTTTAAAAGATGAAAAGATTAATAACTATGTTTCATTTTTTAAATCTTAGCTGATCTATATTAAACCAAAATAGATGAATAAACTCTAAAATATGGACAACTTTCATTTTGCATATTATTATGTTACATAAAATGTGTGCACATTAATACCATGCAAAGAGAGGAATACCTCTGACACACACAAGGTCCAAGTGATGTAATACATCATAAAAGAAAAACTGCCTGTGTTATCACGTCAGTCAGGGCTACGGTACACTAATCAAAACAAATGGGGACTACGGAAATGGATCATTCAGTTTTAAATACTTTAATGTAACTGACATATATTAAGGGGCAAGGTAACATGAACTTAAGTGACACTGAAAACTTATTTAAAAATATGACATCCATTTCAAAGTTTTTTTTTCTCATTGAATTTATTGGCCATTTCAAAGTTTTAAAAATTCAAATTAAATTGAGATTTGAAGAAAATAATCTCAGCTGGGTGTGATGGCTCACTCCTGTAATCCCAGAACTCAGGAGGCTGAGGCAGGAGGATCGCTGTGAGTTCGAGATCAGCCTGGGCTACATAGTGAGTTCCAGATCAGTCTCAACTACTTAGTGAGACCCTGTCTCAAAAAACTGAAGAGGGGAAAAAAAAAAAGAATGGAAGAAAGAAATCTCTTATTGGGCCAGGGATTTAGCTCACTGGCACCATGTCTGCCTCACAAATGTAAGGTCCTGAGTTTGATCCCCGGTACCAGAAAAAAAAGTCATGTTATTATAATGAACACTATTTTACAGGTAAGAATTATACAAATTATACCTAAATAAAAACATTAAAATCTTTTTATAAAGTCAGGGAGAATAAACATGATGTATACCATTGTTCTTATATAGTACTGTTCTGGAGGCACCAGGTAGGACAAGAAAAAGAAATTTTACACATGCATTCCCACATACATACGTGCACACACACATGGGCATATATACAGGAAGGAAAAAGACAAATGTTTTCTAATAATCTGATTGTTAGTCTAGGAAACTCCAAGAGATTCAGTAGAAAAGCTAGCAGTAAGAGTATAATAGCAGTATACAAAATAAAAGAAAAAGGGCTTTCTTATATACCAGTAATAACCAGTTAAAATAATTTCCCAATAACTATTGCACTCAGATTCAGCAGGCTTTGGATGTTTTTATTGTCACTTGCAACTCCCTACTTGCAGGTGATAACCTCTCTTTCTATTACCTGCAACTCTTTTGGTTACAAGAGAAATATCAATATCAGAATTAGAAGACTCCAAGGCCTTCAGGAAACTCAGTCTCTCATTTCTTCTCTGTAAAAGACTAGCTTTTTTTTTTTTTTTTTTTCCTTTTGTTTTGAGACAGGGTCTCACTATGTAGTTGAGACTGACCTGGAACTCACTATGAAGCCCAGCCTGGTCTCAGCGATCCTCCTGCCTCAGCCTCTGGAGTGCTGGGATTACAGGCATGCGCCACCATACCCGGCAAGACTAGCTTTCTTTACAGAGCTGCAAACATAGTCAACTACCTGTCTTCAAGGTTTATATCTTCAAGTTTCATGTATTATTAAGAGATCAACTCTCATTTTCAGTAGGAAAAAAAATAATCCAAAAGAAGGAGTCTCCCAGCTCATTACTAATTCAAACAATTTACCTGAAAGTGTTCCATCATGCTTAATGTGATAATTTTTTAAATAGCCATGTGGATAGTAGGACAGAAAGATTTCCTAGTTTTTTCTAAGAAAAATCTTTATTTTTTACTTTACTGCTTTAAACAAAAACCAAGAAACAAAGATGACCTGTGTTCACAGATTGAAAACTTAATGTTATTAAAATTGGCAATGATCCCCCAAATTACCTACAAATTTAGCATTATCCCTATCAAAATCCCAGCTGCTTAGAAAGCTGATCCTAAAATTCATAGGGAAATGTTTACGTAATCAAAAATAGCTAAAACAATCTTTCAAAAGAACAAAGTTGGAAAACCCATCCTTAATTTCAAAACTTATTACAAAGCTATAGAAATGGAGACTGTATGTCCCTGAAACTATATATATAGCTAAGAATCCAGAAATCGATCCTCAGATAAAAAGATAATTGATTTTGGCCTGGGGATTTAGCTCAGTGGTTCTGCCACCTGCCTCGCAAGCACAAAGACCAGAGTTTGATCCCTGGTGCCCCCCCATTGATTTCAATAAGGAGAAAAAATAACTTCAAGAAGAAATAGTAATCTTTTCAGCAAATGGTACTAGGATAGCTGGATATTCTATACCAAAGACTGAAGTTGGACTTTACCTCATACACAAATTAACTCAATGGATCAAAGATCTAATGTGAAAGTTAAAGTTTTAAATTCTTAGAGGCAGAAAAAGAGTAAATCTTCATGTCCTTGGATCAGAAAATGGTTTCTTAGACCATTGCTTAGGTACAAGTAATGCAAGAAAAAGTAAATTGAAATTCATTAAAATTAAAAACTGTGCTTCAGAAAGCAGCACCAAGAAATTATAAAGATGCCTGTGATCCCAGCACTCAGGAGGCCAAGGCAGAAAGATCGCTGCAAGTTCTGCCAGCCTGTCCTACATAGTGATTTCAAGGCCAGCCTGAATTGTATAGCAAGACCTTGTCTCAAAAGAAACAAAACAAAGCAAAATGAAAAGACAACCTACAGAATGGGAGAAAATATTTATAAATTATATATCTCATACAAGGCTTATACTTAAGATATATAAAGAACTATGAAAACAGCAAGAAGACAATGCATTTCAAAAATGGGCAAATGATCTGAATAGACACTTCACCTAGAAGATAAATGAATAGCCAATAAACTCATGCAAAGATGCTCAGCCTCGTTAGACATCAAGGAATGCAAAGCCAAGCCACAGGAGATTCCAGTTCACCCCGCCCAAAGGGATGGCTAGAATTCAAAACAAAACAAAACAAAACAATGATAATAAGCAGTATTAGTGAGGGTATAAAGAATATACTCATATACTCCCAAAAGAAATATAAGATGATACAGCTGCTTTGGAAACAGACTGGCAGGTCCCCAAAAGTTAAACATGAAAGCACCATGTTACCAAGCAATTCCATTCCTAGTTGTATGCCCAAGAAGACTGATAACACATCCTTACACAGATATGTACACACATGTTCACTGCAACATTAGTTGCAATAAATAGCTTAAATCTAGAAATAGCCCAAATGTCCATCAGCAGCTGAATGGATAAACAAAATGTGACATATGCATAGAATAGAATAGCCTGCAGCAATAAAAAGGAACAAATTATCAATCTATGCTAAAACATGGATGAACTTTGAAAATATTATGAATGAAATAAGTTAGACAAAAGGACAAATAAGTCAGAGACAAAGGACACATGATTCTACTTATGTAGGGAACCTAGATTAGGTGTATTCATAGCATCAGAAAGTAGAATAGAGGTTTCCAGGTCCTGAGGTGAAACAGAAATGGAGAGCTACTGTTGAATGGGTACAGTTTCTACTTGGAACAGTGAAAGAGTTCTGGAAATGAATAGCACTCGCAGTCTTGCAATACTGAATGCAATGAATGCCACCAAATTGTATACTTACAGTGGCTAAAAGAGTAAATTTTATGATAGGTACATTTTACTGTAATTATAAAAATCCCATATAAATCAATAACAGGTAACAATTTCCTTTTAATAATTAAAATAATTATTAATACACTATGAATAATTTAAAAATATCCACCTGTTCACATTGACTCTCAGTACCATTTCTTCATCCCCACTAGCCTTAACTGTTTTTAGGTCACAGGGTCTTGTTTTCTGGACCCTGAAATCACTATGAAGACAAGTGTCTGCTATCAAACCCATATATTTCCTTGCAGGAATTCATGAAAAGAGCCTCATTTCTCCATACTCTCCATGATGTAAATGAACAGCCAATAAATTATTAATAGATTTATTATTAATAAATTAATAGATGTAGACAGTATCTACATCTTGGAAGGTAAAACCTTCTCGACTCTCCCATGGATTGTGCCTAATCCTCAATCCTAATACTTCTCACTTGACCCCTGTGTTATCTAGGGAAATAATAAGTGAAGGAAAAGATAGCCCAGTCTGCTGTAATCCACATATACGGGTCACTCAGATTAAATACTGCTTAAGAAAGAAGCCAATGTCTTAGAGAATTAGCCAAATTAGTGAAGAAAAGAAATTGTAGCGTCAGTGGGCATACTTTTAAAACTCATATTCTTGGTCTCAAAGCAAGCTACATTGAGTCTAAGTGTGTCTTTAATATAGATAAAAGTAGCAGGTAATAACTCTTGATCAGTTTGGCAC